CATACCCACGGGCTGGTATAAAATGTTATGCCAATCTGGAAAAAAAGGTGCTGAAGTGGCCCAGTCATGGCAGTGTAAATCCTGCTAGCTGGTGGGATATTGCTATAAGTTTGTAAAGCATATGGTTATTTAGAAAGCTGAATTTAGCCAGGCATGGTTGCTCATGCCTGTAATCCCAGCACTTCCAGAGACCAAGGCAAGAGGATTGCCTGAGTACAGGGGTTCAAGACCAGCCTGGGCAAACTGGTGAGACCTCATGTCTACAATAAAACAAAAAATTAACCGGGCATGGTGGTGCACACCTGTGGTTCCACCTACTTGGAAGCCTGAGGCAGAAGAATCACCTGAATCCAGCAGGTTGAGGCTGCGGTGGCTGTGAGCGGTGGTACTGTACTCCAGCTTGGGTGACAGAGTGAGACTCCAACTCAAAAAAAAAAAGCTGAATTTGCTGGTTATTTAGTTCACATATTGAAACATTCAGAGTAATCTGTTAAGAGCCTCAAAGAAACTTATATTTACATTCTTATGATTTCGAGATAAACATAGCAGAAAGAGTCATGGGACATCATCTAGTTAAGCATGTCCTGAAGTATAGATTACATTTCTCTGAATCTCCATACCAAAAAGAAAGACTTTGTGGCTAAATAATGATGGAAAATGCTGTCACCGGGAAAGAGTTACTAAGTCATGGAATAAGATAATAGATTTGAGTGACAATTCAAAATATCCACATTAGAAAGTTCCAAAAAGAGTTATGGCCACAGTAAGGACAAGTCTAGAAGACATGCCACACTGCCAGCCCCAACCAAAGTCCAGGCTGAAGGCATGAGCTGTGTTTTGTGTTACACATCTGTTTGGACACACAGACAGTTAATATGTAGGTCTGCTCCATACCTTCAACTTTTTAATTTATTTAGTAGCCAGTCCAAAAAAATCAGCTGTATAAATCAAAATCTCTTTTTACTTTTTTGAAGTTTTTTTTATTTCAATAGCTTTGGGGTAACAAATAGTTTTGGTCTGGAATTTAAGTGTACCCACCACCCCCACCTGTGTACATTGTAGCTGACAGGTGATTTTTTTTTTTTTTTTTTTGGCCCTTTACCCCTTCTCTCCCACCCCCTTCTGAGTCTCCAGTGCTCATTATATGATTCTATATGCCCTTACAGATTCTTAGTTTAGCTCCCACTTGTAAGTGAGCATATGTGGTGTTTGGTTTCCTGTTTCTGAGTTATTTCACTTAGGATTATATTCTCCAATTCCATCCAAGTTGCTGAAAAAAAAAACCACTATCTCATTCTTTTTTATAGCTGAATAGTATTCCATAATATATATATACCATATTTTCATTATTCACTGATCAGTTGATGGGCATTTAGATCTTTGCAATTTTGAATTGTGCTGCAATGAACATGCAGGTGCAGGTGTCTTTGTTATATAACATCCGCTGTTCCCTAGGGTAGATACCTAGCAGTGGGATCACTGGATCAACTGGTAGATCTACTTTGAGTTATTTGAGAAATCTCCATACCACTTTCCATAGAAGTTGTACTAATTTACACTCCCAACAAAAGTGTACAAGTGTTCCCTTTTCTGTGCATCCATGTCAGCATCTATTGTTTTTGATTTTTTAATAGTGGCCATTCTGACTGGTGTAAGGTGGTATCTCATTGCGGTTTTAATTTGCATTTCCCTGATGATAAGTGATGCTGAGCATTTTTTCATATGTTTCTTGGTCGTTTGTATGTCTTCTTTTAAGAAATATCTGTTTCTGTCTTTTGTCCACTTTTTAATGGGATTATTGGCTTTTTTCTTGTTAATTTCTTTGAGTTCTTTGTAGATTCTGGATATCCTTTGTCAAATGTATAGTTTGCAAATATCTTCTCCCATTCTTTAAGTTGCTTATTTGTTTCACTGATAATTTCTTTTGCTGTGTGGAAGGTTTTTAGTTTAATTAAGTTTCAGTAGTTGATGAAAGAAATTTTAAAAGACACAAACAAATGGAGAAGCATCCCATGTTCATGAATTGGAGGAATCTGCATTGTTAAACTGACCATATTACCCAAAGTAACCTACAAATTCAACACAATCTCTATCAAACTACTAATGTCATTTTTCACAGAATTAGAAAAAAATCCTAAAATTTATATGAAACCAAAAAAGAGCCAGAATAGCCAAAGCAATCCGAAACACAAGCACACACCAAAACAAAAAAACAAAAAAACCAAACCTACAGGCATATTTCCTGACTTCAAATTATACTAAAAAGCTGTAGCTACCAATACAGTATGGTACTGGTACAAGAGCAGATACATTGACCAATAGAACAGAATAGAGAAATCAGAAATAAATACAAATATCTACAACCAACTGATCTTTGACAAAACAAACAAAAACATGCACTGGGGAGAGAGTAGCCTATTCAACAAAGGTTGCTGGGAAAATTGGATAGCTACATGCAGAAAAATGAAACTTGATCCCTATCTCTCCCTATATACAAAAATTAACTCAAGTTGGATTAAAGACTTAAATGTCAGACCTGAAGCCATAAAAATCCTACAAGAAAACCTAGGAAAAACTCTTCTGAACATTGGCCTAGGCAAGGAATTTATGACTAAAACACCAAAATCTCTTTTTAAAGTATTTGACTTAAGAAACCCTGAAATAATTTTTCTGTAACTAAAGGTGTTGGACTTCCATGAGGTGATAATCCACAGCATGTATAAGTCAAGTTTGTGAGAAAGAAGAGATTAAAAAACAGTGAGGAACTCCTTTGACAGAGGAATAGGAAGAGCAGACAGTTGGAGCACAGAATAATCACAGTAATAGCAGTGCTCCAGAGGAAAGATGCATAAACTCCTGCTTCTAAGGTCTCAAGAATTTCCTTAAATTCAGTAATCTAGGACTTCCTTCCAAACTTCGTGTCCATTAGATGCAGGTCAGTGAAAACAGGTCAAGGAGATGAGAGTATCGGAAAAAACCAGGGCTGTCCATGCCCAAGCTATCGCTAACCAATACATTTTAAATGCATTGATTTCCACCCATTAGTGGAGTTGTTAATTATTAGATACTTGGTGAATCTGGTATTCTTTCTAAGTCTGAAATTCCAGAACTTTGTGTTTTGCCTTACAACCCAAGGAATTCCCAGGATCAAAATCAACAAGTAGCCCCAAAAATTTTTATGAGAGTTCTTTGGCTAATAGGATCCCCATATTTCACAAACAAGTTTCTAACCATAACTCGAACCAGGCTCCCAGTGAATCTTGAAATCCCTGATGGAGAAGTTTCTACTCTCACTCTGTAGAAATATCATTCCCAGCCAGGCTCAGTGGCTCAGCCTGTAATCCCGCGCCTTTGGGAGGCTGAGGTGAGTGGATTGCCTGAGCCCGCGGGTTCGAGACCCGCCTGGACAGTGAGACCTCATCTCTACAATAAATCAAAAAATCAGCCGGGCGTGGTAGTGCATGCCTGTACTTGGAAGGCTGAGGTGGAAGGATCGCCGGAGCCCAGCAGGTCGAGGCTGCGGTGGCCGGGAGTGGCCATTGCACTCCAGTCTGGGCGACAGAGTGAGACTCCAACTCGAAAAAAAAGAAATATCATCCTGAAGAACAGAGCCCAGAGCAATCAGTAGCTGACAAAAGAACTCACTCCACTACCAGAAAGGGAAGAACCAGACTGATTTCTTTAGAAAACTGATTCTACCAAATACGATAAACTCCCTTTCCATGAACTACCTCTAGAGTACAGAGACTAAAAGTTAAAGTAGATGGCTTATGGTCAAAAAGGACTAATGTAGGATAGTGAAACAAGCAATATCTTGGAGTTATGCCTTGATGATTTAAATCCTGGCTTCTGCACTTACAGTTCATTCTTTGACAAGTCACTTTAGCTTTCTGAACCTCGGACAACACATTTCAAGAAGGAAACTCATAATGGCTATTCCAGGATTATTGGGAAAATCACTAGTTAATATAGAAATGTCCAACACGTAGTAAGGGCTCCATAAAGCTAATTATTTCACTGAATCACATTCTTTCATTGGTCTTTAGGAAAAAATTCAAGACAGACAATGACCTGGTTCATAGGAGAACAAAAACAGATTATGAAAGTACTCACAAAAAATTGTTGAATAACTGGGAACGTTTGATTCTGAGAAGACTAAATAAAAGTGGGTATTGCCACTATCAGTCTTGGAAGAAAGTGGTTTTACCCAACATACAGAACCAAGCATAATACTAAAGTGCAGAGGATACAGAAAGAGTGATGTGGCTTTCTCAACAGGCAGAATTTTCCAAAGGTAGAGTGAACAGAAAGTCCCCATCACATAGAATATTAACACAGAGTCCTGTGTCTGACAAATCTGAAGACCCCATTCACAGCACATGTGTGAATCGCCCTGTCTGGAGTCACACAGAAACACCCTAAGAAGCCATGAGGCAGCTCTGGTCTACATTTTAACTAGGTGACAATTTGGGGACGGGGGAAATATTCTAGAAGAGAAGGACTCTATATCAGTCCCTTCCAGTCTTGATAGTTTAAGGTTCTCTAATCTTAAAGAAAGTTCCAGATAATAAGTATGTGAATTTGGGAAAATACTGTCCCAATGTCCAATTTCAGGAGGGGTGCAGAGTTATTATGGTCTCCATAGTAATTGCGAGTTGTGGATTCCCTTTTTTTTTTTTTTTTTTGAGTTGAAGTTTTTTCTTCATGCAGCGGCATGCTCACAGCCACTGCAGCCTTGACCTGCTGGGTTAAGGTAATCCTTCCACCTCAGTCTTCCAAATAGCTGGAACTACAGGCATGCGCCACCACGCCCAGCTAATTTTTGATTTATTGTAGAGATGAAGTCTCGCCAAATTGCCAGGGCTGGTCTCAAACTCATGAGCTCAGGCAGTCTTCTCATCTCGGCCTCCCAAAGTGCTGGGATTATAGATGTGAGTCACCGAGCCCAGCCGTGGATTCTTAAGATGGTAAATATTTTCTCCTCTCTGTAACCAGAGACTATGGGAGACATTTGCCTAACAGCTGACACTGAAGAAAGGAAAGGTCCTCAGTCCGGAGTCTCTAATTCTGTTATTCCCTTCAGGCCAACCAGCTACAGTGAGCCTTTGGTCAAAAGGAATCTCACCACCGTGACAGAGTTCATTCTTGTGGGCTTCACAAATCATCCTGAACTGGCAGTTCCACTCTTCCTACTGTTCCTCACTTTCTATCTTGTCACTCTTCTGGGGAATGTGTGGATGATTATTCTGATCCAAGTGAATGTCCAACTCCACACCCCAATGTACTTCTTCCTTAGCCATCGTGCCCTCCTGGATGCCTGCTATGCCTCGGTAATCACCCCGCAGATCCTAGCCACACTAGCTGCGGACAAGACAGTCATCTCCTGTGGCCGCTGTGTTGCTCAGTTCTTTTTCTTCACCATCTGTGCAGGCACAGTGTTACCTGCTGGCAGTGATGGCCTATGACCGTTTTGTCGCCATGAGCAATCCACTGCACTGCAATGTGATTATGCCTCCAGGCACCTGCAGGGGCTTGTTAGCCGGGACCTACATCTGTGGAGTGTCTGGGGCCGTTCTGCGTGCCACGTGCACCTTCACTCTCTCCTTCTGTCAAGACAATAAGATCAACTTCTTCTTCTGTGATCTCCCACCCCTGCTGAAGCTTGCCTGCAGCAACATGACGCAAAATGAGATTGCTATTCTCTTCATCGCAAAATTCATGTTCCTGGCGAATGTCATGATCATCTTGATCTCCTACGTGTTCGTCATCAGAGCCATTCTAAGGGTGAAGCGTGCTGGTGGGCGAGCCCAGACTTTCTCCACCTGCACCTCCCACCTCACCACTGTCATCCTCTTCTTTGGGACACTTGCCTTCATGTCTCAGAGTAGTAATTCAGACAAATCCCCAGAGGAGGACAAGATCGTGTCTGTCTTTCATACTGTCATCACCCCTATGCTAAATCCCTTGATCTACAGTCTGAGGAACAACAATGTGAAAACCCGCATTCAGAAAAGTCATTGGTAAATTCCGGTTCCCGAGGAATATAGCTTTAGGTGAGGGTCCTTCTTCCTGACCCACCTTCTTCTTGTATCTTCAAATTCTAATGGCAATCAGTATCATATAGTGCTTGCTCCTAAGAATGAACAATAAGTAGATTTCTTCATCCCCTGTCCTGTAGGGAAAAATGCAGGTTTGGGGACATTTGTTTAGATGACTTCCTCTACTTCCCTCTTCTTCCCCTCTCCTTCTTTAGCCCTCCCAGACTTTCCAGGTTTTAGAGCTACCCTCTGATGTCACAGAGCTAAAAAGTAGCATCTTCATAATTGAACTGACGGCCACATCCAATCGCCCACTCTGCAACTCAGCCATCCTTGGGTTCCCCGGTTGCCCCTTATTTGTTCTTTCGTCTTCATGTTCGTTGATAATGACTTTTACTATTTGTGGAAAAGTATAGCTATGAATTGTCCTAATGGGAAAATACATGTTTTCTGTTTTCTTTTATGGTATGGGTAACTTTCCAACTTATTATGAAGAAATTAATGAAAAGAACCTATGAACCCAAAGAAATTTCTAATTGATACAGATTAGAGTAGTAGAGGAAGGGGTACCCACTTTTGGCTAGTCTCTCTCTTACATCTTCTTTTTTTTTTAATTGAATCGAAGTCTCACTCTGTCGCCCAGGCTCTGTCCTAGCCACCACAGCCTTGACCTGCTGGGATCAGGCAATCCTTTAGCCTCAGCCTTCCAAGTAACTGGAACTACAGGTGCATGCCACTATGCCCGGCTAATTTTTTGATTTATTGTAGAGGTGAGACCTTGCCAAGTTACCCAGGTTGATCTTGAATCCGTGGGCTCAAGCAATCCTCTCAACTCAGCCTCCCAAAGTACTTGGATTATAGGAGTGAGCCACCATGCCCAGCCAGGTCTTTTTAATGGTTTCTAATATCTCCAGGACTATAATATCCAGTTTTCAAGTGATAATCCTTTAAATTCTGAATCTCCAATCTTTTTGTTTTTCCTCGTAAACACGGTGCCTGATAACAACTGCTACTCTCCATAGATTCATTCCCAGGGTCTGCAAAGGCAGCAATGATAGGCCTGTAGCAAATAGTTGTAATCGGTATTACCATCTCTGATAAAAATAGCTTCCGTAATTATAGAAGTAAGTCATTACTGCACACATCAGATGGTAAACCCCTTGAAGACAGAGTCCTAATTCTTCACTTAATAGTTTATTTTTTAAGTTGCTGGCACACTGAAAACTAGTATACGTTGATAAAAGTAGTGAAAGAAGACACAAATAAAGGAAAGACATCTACGTTCATGGTTTGGAAGATTAAATATTGTTAAAATGATAAATGTTAAAACCAAAGCAATCTACAGATTCAATGCCATTCCCATCAAAGTCTTAATGACATTTTTAAAGAAATAAAATTAAAAATCCTAAAATGTATACAGAACAATAAAAGACCCAGAGTAGCCAAAGCAAACTGAGGAAAAAGAATGAGATGGAGGTATCGTATTTCCTGACTTCAAAATATGTTACAAAGCTGTAGTTATTTTAAGCGGTATGATAACTGGCATAAAAACAGACACATAAATCAATGGAACAGAGTAGAATAGAAAACTCAGAAGTAAACTCACATATACATAGGCAACCAATCTTTGACAAAGGTGACAAGAATCACAATGAGTAACGATAGTCTCTTTAACAAATGGTACTGGGTATCTCTACGCCAAAGACTGAAATTGGACTCCCTCTTACATATACACAAAAAATCAATTCAACATGGACTAAAAACTTAAATATAAGACCTGAAACTGTAAAACTTCTAGAAGAAAATGTAAGAGAAAATCTCCATGACATTGGTCTTTGCAATGATTTTGTGAATATGACATCAAAAGCATAGACCAAAACAAAAAAAATCAAAAATTGACAAGTAGGACTAAATCAAACTAAAAAACTTCAGTACAGCAAAGGAAAAAGTCAGTTCTGTGCTTCAGTTCACTGGTTAGAAATAATGATATGGTCCTGCCTCACTAAAAGGGGTCATTAGAGGTGAAGAAGAAAATGTAATATTTGCTAAGCAATACTGACTGCCAGGGATTATCTATGGTTGCAATTATCAGCATTCCACAAAATCACAAATAGATCACTTTTTCATGGGTCATAATTATTTACTCTAAATCACTCCTGTTATATTTGAGGGAAATTATAATGTTTTGCCTATACAAAACTTTATTTTTATAGGCAAAAATGTATTTATTTTTGGATTCCCCAGTTGGTACTGGAGGAGATTTGAAAAAAATGTTTTAGGGGTAGGAAATCAAGACTTCTGGCAAACCCATTCCTGGCAAAGCCACACCATTGCTGCCCCAGACTTCCTAAGCCACTAACATGGATTATAACTGAAGAACCTGCCCAAGGGCACACTATTTTGTCTGCTCGGATCCACATCCAATGCACCCTACCCAACCAATATCCCAGGACCCCTTTATAGTGCAAATCTTTTCCTATGAAAGTTACTTTATAAAATTAGAAGAAGTGACTGTTCTACCAGCTGCACAGATATCAATGTGGGGACACAAGAAATATTTTTAAAGTAAGGAAATATGCGATCTTCAAAGAAACAGAATAATTTTCTTGTGACAGACTCCAAAGAAAAGGAAATTTATGAAATTTCAAAAAAGGCTATTCAAAATAATCATCAGGAAACTTAGTGAGATACAAGAAAATACCCACATAATCAATGTTCATAAACCTAAACCTGAATTGTACCCATATCTTTATAATAAAAAAATTTTTTAAGGAAAAAAAAAGAAAATTCAACAAAATCAGGAAAATAAATTCACAATCTGAATTAATTTTTAACAAAAAGATAGATATGATTTTAAAAACATGGATCTGAAGAAGTCAATGAAAGAAATAAAAATACAATTGAGAGTTCCACCAACAGACTAGATCAAGTAGAATAAAAAATTTTTGAACTTAAAGACAGATCTTTTTAAATGACCCAGGCAGAACATACATACATACATACATATACATACATACATAAGAATGAAGCCTACTGGACTTATGGGACACTATTCAGTCAACAAACATTCACATAATGGAGAATAAGAAAGGAGAAGAGATAGGAAAAGTTGCCGAAAACCTATTTAATGAAATAATAGCTGAGAACTTCCCAAGTCTTGGAGAAATATGAACATCCAGGGCCAGGAAGATTAAAAGACCTCAAATAAATTCAACACAAAAGATCCTCTCTGAGGCACAATTTAATCAAACTGTCAAAAGACAAAGAATTCTAAAAACAGCAAAAGAAAACGTTAAGTCACAGCTACGCATGACAGCATGCACCTACAGTCCCAGATACTCAGGAGGCTGAGGCAGGAGGATCTCTTGAGCCAAGGAGTTTGAGACTGGCTTGGGCAACATAGCAAGATCCCCATCTCTAAAAATAAAAAAGAAAGAAAATATCAAGGGAATCCTCATTAGACTAACAGCAGATTTCTCAGCAGAAACCTTACAGACCAGGAGAGAATAGAATGATATGCTCAAAGAAATGAAAGGAAAAAAATAGCAGATAAAAGTACTATACCTAACAAAGCTTTCCTTTAGAAATGATAGAGAAAATATTTCTAGACAAGCAAAGACTGAGGAAATGTACCAACAATAAACTGGCCTTACATGGAATGCTTAAGACAATCCTACATCTGGAAGTAAAAACACACAAAAGTTTAAAACTCACTGGTCAAGCAGATACACAAAGGAAAAACAAAAAGGAATCAAATCGTATCACTATAGAAAACCACTAAACCAGCCAGGTATGGTGACTCACACCTGTAATCCCAGTACTTTGGGAAGCCAAGGCAGGAGGAAAACTTGAGGCAGAAGTTTGAGATCAGCCTGGGCAACACAGGGAGATCTCCATCTCTACAGATTTTTTTTAAAAATTAGCTGGATCCAGTGGTGCACACCTATAATCCAAGCTACTCAGGAAGCTGTGGTGGGAGGATAGCTTGATCCCAGGAGTGTGAGGCCATGGTGAGCTATGATTTCACCACTGTACTCCTATTTGGAGGACACAGCAAGAAACCACTTCTAAAAAAAGAAAAATAAAGAAAGGGAGAAGGAAGGAAGGCAGCAAGAGGACTCAAATTTAAAAAATACGAAATTAAAAAGGAGATATTACAATTGATACTACATAAGTACAAACGACCATTAGATTTCTTTTAACCTAAAATTTGTATGAGATCACAAAAGACCCCAAATAGCCAAAACAATCCTGAGCAAAAAGAAAAAAAAAAAAGATTATCAGTCTACCTGACTTAAGAATATACTACAAATCTATGGTAACCATAGACACATAGACCAATGGAACAAAATAGAGAACCCAGACTTAAATCCAGTGGCAAAGTGGAGTCTATTCATGCCCTAATGTGTCAATTGTCTGGGAGGGTCTTTGGGGAAGAGATTAGCATGTGAATTGTTAGACTGAGTAAAGAAGATCATCCTCACAAGTGCAGGTGGCCTCATCCAATTCTTTGAGGGCTCAAACAAAACAAAAAAGTTAAGGAAAGAATTTACTTCTGCCCTAGGATACTGGCACACCTGGTTCTCAGATATTTGGACTCAGACCAGGATTTATATCATAGGCACCTCCAGTTCTCAGGCCTTTGGATTTGGACTAGAACTATATCAACAACTTTTCTGGGCCTCCAGCTTGCAGACAGCAGACTGTGGGACTTCTCCGTCTTCATCGTCATGTGAGCCAATCCATCATGACATATATATTTTTTTGTTATTTATTTATTTATTTATTGAGAACTAAAGTAGTAAGATAAAATTAAATCTAAAGAAAAGAAAAAAAAAGAAGTAATAAAAATGAGAAAAGAGATCAGTAAAATAGAAAATAGATGAATGTCAATTATGCCTCAACAAAACTGCTAATAGAAATAAATTTGTAAAAATTCAACAATATAGAATTTTTGTTTATTGAAAAGATTAATAAAAGTTGTAA